TTTAAATGATTAAAATTATTTAAACGTTTGATATTTGTAAGCGAATATTATAGCATCTGAGCTTAACATAAATGTTTATGTAGTAATCAAAATTAAATGTTTAATTTATTAAAAGCATAATATTTTAAAATAATATCTGAATAGAACTTAAATTTTGTTTATAGTCATAAAAATGACATTCTTCAAATTTTCTTTGCATTAGAGAAATCGCTTGATATTATTGTCTAATCAATAGTTTTAAAAAATGTTTAGCAAACAAAAAGAAAATAAGCAATGAGATACTCAGTATTCATATTTTACTGCACGTACGATTTATTGATTTTCTCAAATAATATGATCAAGTTTCAAATTTATTGAAATTTCAGAATAAATGATCAAAACAAATAAGATGAATGAAAGGAATAAAAAATATTAAATAAAAAAAATAGGAGTGGAAAAATTAATTTTAAATTAGCATGAATTATTGCTTAATATTGTTCATAATATTAAGCATGCAAACTAACTTTTTGATAGTAATTCATCATTTTATCAAAAAGTTAGTTTGCATATCACATTAAAGAGAATGGAAATTTAAAATTTGGATTTCAAAGAGGACAAAGAATTAATCAAAAAATTTCATTAATAATTTTCAATTGTATTTAATTTCAGACTATTTATTGAGAAAGTGTAAACGGAATAAAATTAAAAGATAAAAGCTGAAAAATGAAATAAAAATAACATGTAAAAGTTTTCTACATAAAACTGCAATAAATTCAGCGAATTCATTCTCGAATGACATGACCATTAAGCTTTATTTTAAATTTATTTTGAAAGCATTTACTTCAAAAGTTTGAAACCAGAATGTTGTTGGTATATTTAGTTAAAGAGAATGACAATCGAAAAGCTGAGATTTCAAGGAGGAAAAAGAATGAATGAAAAACTTTCAAATTCGTTTCAAATATTTTTTTTTATTATTTCATAAGTTTGTCGGTGTCTGAGCAATTTATAATCGTTTTGGCACTTTGCATTAGCCATTAAAAAAATTTGAAGGTAGAAAGATTTAAGAATAAGATTATTTACTTTAAACAGTAATTGCGAATAAGATTTGGCACAAGATGAAAATTTATCAGTGATTAACTGATTAAATTTTTTACATAAATAATATTACTGGGATAATTATAATAGCAATTAATGCAAGCATTCTTCACATTTTCTGCTAAATTTTATAAGTAAAAATTGCAATTTAAAAAATTAGCTTTTTTCAGAACAAATTGATTGTGAAATTATAGGAGGAATATGCAAAATTTACCTTTTTCCTACTAATTTGTAATTTTAAATAGCAAATTTTTTGAATTAATTGATAAAAAGGGATGAATGAACTTTGATCAAAATGAGGAAAAGTACGAAGAAGAAAATGAGGAATGAATTAGCAAATTAAGATGGGATAATAATGCTGGCACAAACAAATTCAAAAATGCAAATTTATGATCAAAAATTTTTGATCGCCTGGTAACTCTTAGAAATAAGAAAAATTCATTGATTACAATTTTTTTACATTTCGATAAGAAATTTCGCAAGTTACAAGGAAAAAAAAAATTTGCATTTTTGCTAGAAAAAAAAATTTTCAAATGTTATACCTGATGTTTTTTTACATACCTCGAGAAAGTCGCTAATTGTCTTTTGTTCCAGTAATTTTTGTACATGCGGTAAATTGTGATGAAATTGAATGTGTAAATCGAAATCTCGTGATAATCGTGTAAATGTTTGGCCCACTTTATTTGGATCATCCGAATAGTACTGCAGGCCTTTTAGCATTATACTGAAATTTTGAAGAGCAAATTTTTTTTTATGAAAATTAAAAAAGTTATTTTATCAGTTAGCAGTGATAATTTTCATGTAAAATTAATATTAAAATGAAAAAGGAAAAATTACAAATGATTACAGTTGTTTGCGTTATCATTTATGTATCTTTTTTTTCCTATAATTCATCTTGAAAAATTTAATGAAAATAATAAAACATTTTTAACAGTACAAAATATACTTGGCATGAAAATTATGTAATTGCTTCAAATTCATTATCAATTCATCCTTTTTCGCTTTCACTTCTTCCGGAATATTTGCATCATCCAATGCTTTTACATACGTATCAACAACTGTTCGTAGCTCATTAACAAATTCTTCCTCGGAACGTAGCAAATCATGGTAAACTTGACTGTAGAATAAAATTTTATTTAATGATGAAAAGCTATGCTATCAGTTAGCAGTGATAATTTTCATGTAAGATTGAAATTTAATCATATCGAAATACTGAAATGCAAATAGATTTAGATTATGTTAATTGATGAATTGATTTAAAATTTTTTTTAAACTCACTCTCTTTTCATAATTGCTTCCTGTTCATCCGTCAAATTTAAATCTCTGTTCACTAATTCTCGCGTCTTTTTTCGTTGTTTATAGTATTCTGTTGGTGATTCGAAATATGATCCTGGTACCCAACCTGATTTTGGTGGACGTGCCTGAAAAAAAATTTTGATAAAGATTTAAATTTTCTGCCAAAAAAATTATTAAATTGCTGTTTTTTTTTTTTTGCTTTAAATCATTAACCTTTGTTCTGATAAGCCAAGAAGCAGCATTCTTTTTGTCTAACACTTCAACAATTTGTCCTTGTTCCAACGATATTGATTCGATATCATCAGGTTCTGGGTTATAATCCTGTGTTGCTATATACACTGGTAATGATCGAGTTTCCGTAGCCTTCAGGAAATGTATTTAAGCATTAGATATTTGCATACTACTTTTTAATTTCCTTCATTATTTTAATATTATTTAAGCATTATGATTTCAGTATTCACATAATTGAATAAGCAAAAAGCCAGTGCTAAAATTTCAACTCTAAAGCAATGATTTAAAATAATCCTACAGAGACAATTTCGGATGATGAACTTCGACCACGATCACTGCTTCTTGAAGTAATCGATTCGGAGCGATAAGATGATCGAGATGTATGCGCTGAATAATTTACATCTTCTGTTGCTGTATATTTTCTGGAAAATTAGAGAGATGAAATTTTTGCAGTTAATTTCAACAATGTTTAATGATCAGAGAGAAAAAGGCTTAGTCAGTTTCATTGTAATGAATTTTCTTAAAAAAAATTTTCTTCCTTGATCAAATAAATTTTAATGAAATTTTTTCAATTTTTTTCAACCTCTCATAATCATTCCAACAAAAAATTAAATCGAAAAACTGCAGAAAAGTATGCCACAGGGTTGCTGCTTGTGGTGAATATTTTTCAAGGGAAAAAGAATTTGATGGAATAATTAGTATGTGAGAAAAGTTGATTCAGTTTGTTATTTTTCTCATATTTTTTTTGATGCGAATAGATTTCGCTTTTTGAAGGTGCAATAAATTTTTTACTTAGATTAAAATTGAATAAAATTTTCAATTCAATAATTTTTCCAGTTTAATTCTTATTTTAAATGATGGTAATGGTTATTATTCAAGCTTAAACTAATGATTTAACTCAGATAATATATTTTAATTCAAAATT